TCTCTCCCTCTCTCTCTCTCTCTCTCTCTCTTACTATAATACTATATTATATCCAAATTACTTAAATTTACTCTCTGCACCTCCAACTGGAGTTTTCCAACCACCGTCGAATTATCCCCATCATCCATTAGTTCGTTTTTTATCTAATTTCTCATTTTATCTTTCACACTCTAACCATCCATTTTTCCCTTCTTCCTTTGTTAGATTACATCGTTTGACCTCGTGCTTTCCTCTCTTCGTCCACGTTGCCCTCTTCTTTGATGGATATTGAGGTAGAGGGCTGGAATACCCCTTGAGTTTCGCAATGTCTTTCCTCTCTGCCGGCTTCAACGGCTCGTTAATTGACCTCAAACCCACCTGATGCCATTGTCTCTGTGGAGTGTGGTCTTGTCTCTGCTATCCCTCTCTCACCCCTTTTATCTTTTCTTTCTCATCAACCCTCCCTCCGTAGCTACCCACCCTTTCGCTGTCTCAAATAACTAGTCCAAATTTCACAATTATTTTTCCTTTGTTTTTCCTCCTCCTTATCTCCTTTTTTCGTTATCCAGCTTCCTTCTTTACTTTTCTTCCGCTGGCTTTGGGTTCACTCACTTGTTCTCATTAGGAACTTTCACTACCGTTCACGATCTCACCATACTCATCATCCCTCACTAGTCACCATATACATCAACCCTCACTGCAGTTATAACATACTCATCAACCCTCACTACAGTTTACACTATGAATTTTTTTTTACCCCGCGGTAGTAAAAAATATTTTCCAACTGCTACGACATTATATATATATATATATATATATATATATATATATATATATATATATATATATATATATATATATATATATGTCGTACCTAGTAGCCAGAACGCACTTCTCGGCCTACTATACAAGGCCCGATTTGCCTAATAAGCCAAGTTTTCCTGAATTAACATATTTTCTCTAATTTTTTTCTTATGAAATGATAAAGCTACCCATTTCATTGTGTATGAGGTCAATTTTTTTTATTGGAGTTAAAATTAACGTAGATATATGACCGAGCCTAACTAACCCTATCTAACCTAACCTAACCTATCTTTATAGGTTAGGTTAGGTTAGGTAGCCTAAAAAGCTAGGTTAGGTTAGGTTAGGTAGGTTAGGTAGTCGAAAAACAATTAATTCATGAAAACCTGGCTTATTAGGCAAATCGGGCCTTGCAAAGTAGGCCGAGAAGTGCGTTCTGGCTACTAGGTACGACATATATATATATATATATATATATATATATTATTAAATATGACCGAAAAAGTAAGATTAATAATTCTAACACGAATTTTCTCAATCTTTCGTACATTATGCTTCACTGTTGGAGGTAAATCAAAAATCAATTCTCCAAAATTCATTTTTATTACTAGTCTGACGCGACACGGGCGCGTTTCGTAAAACTTATTACATTTTCAAAGACTTTAATTCACAAATACACAACTGAATAGAACTTACGTATCTCCGATTTTTATATATATATATATATATATATATATATATATATATATATATATATATATATATATATATATATATATATATGTCGTACCTAGTAGCCAGAACGCACTTCTCAGCCTACTATGCAAGGCCCGATTTGCCTAATAAGCCAAGTTTTCCTGAATTAATATATTTTCTCAATTTTTTTTCTTATGAAATGATAAAGCTACCCATTTCATTATGTATGAGGTCAATTTTTTTTATTGGAGTTAAAATTAACGTAGATATATGACCGAACCTAACCAACCCTACCTAACCTAACCTAACCTATCTTTGTAGGTTAGGTTAGGTTAGATAGCCGAAAAAGTTAGGTTAGGTTAGGTTAGGTAGGTTAGGTAGTCGAAAAAACATTATTTCATGAAAACTTGGCTAATTAGGCAAATCGGGCCTTGCATAGTAGGCCGAGAAGTGCGTTCTGGCTACTAGGTACGACATATATATATATATATATATATATATATATATATATATATATATATATATATATATATATATATATATATATATATATATATATATATATGTCGTACCTAGTAGCCAGAACGCACTTCTCAGCCTACTATGCAAGGCCCGATTTGCCTAATAAGCCAAGTTTTCATGAATTAATTGTTTTTCGACTACCTAACCTACCTAACTTAACCTAACCTAACTTTTTTCGGCTACCTAACCTAACCTAACCTATAGAGATAGGTTAGGTTAGGTTAGGTAGGGTTGGTTAGGTTCGGTCATATATCTACGTTAATTTTAACTCCAATAAAAAAAATTGACCTCATACATAATGAAATAGGTAGCTTTATCATTTCATAAGAAAAAAATTAGAGAAAATATATTAATTCAGGAAAACTTGGCTTATTAGGCAAATCGGGCCTTGCATAGCAAGCCGAGTACGACGTTCTGGCTACTAGGTACAACATATATATATATATATATATATATATATATATATATATATATATATATATATATATATATATATATATATACTAGAAATAAAAATTAATTTTGGAGAATTGATTTTTTATTTACCTCCAACAGTGAAAAGAAATGTACGAAAGATTGAGAAAATTCGTGTTAGAATTATTAATCTTACTTTTTCGGTCATATTTAATAATATATATATATATATATATATATATATATATATATATATATATATATATATATATATATATATATATATATATATATATATATATACCACCTCTAGCTGGAAGAAGGGGGACCCATAGCCTCGGAGGAAACCACGCATAACGCATTAGAGGGAATGTTTAGATCCGACTACCTATATATATATATATATATATATATATATATATATATATATATATATATATATATATATATATATATATATATATATATATATATAAATATTTATATATATATATATATATATATATATATATATATATATATATATATATATATATATATATATGTGTATATATATATAAATATATATATATATATATATATATATATATATATATATAAACTACTTTATTTATTTAAACTATAAATCACGCTTAATCACCGCAGGTTAGACGGGTCCAAAATTGTTTGGATCAGCGCTTCAATGAATCTCACTCACTTTCTGCTGTCCCCGTTCATCAATTTATCCAGTATTTTCCCATCAATTTCTACATACCAGTCACGGCATTATATAATATGCACATGCTGTGTATCTTTTAATTTGGCGCCTTTGCTAGTTTATTTCACTTCGATCAACACTTCTGATGAAGGTTCTCGATTATAAGGCTTGAACAAAAATAATATCATACTGTGCAAAGAGATAGGAAACGGGCTTCACCTTCACTGTGTTAACTTTTATACGTTATTTTTTTTCAAACTTTAAATTGGTTTCGGAGCTACTCCATTCATTAGATATATTTTGTTTAAATCCCAAACCTATTTCGGGCATATTTGTATCTTTCAGAACCAATCATGAGTGACTTATCCAGGTGACTCTCACAATTAACCTGCATTCTGTGCAAAAACTATTAATGTCTCCTGTTCCTGCACTGTTCACAAGTGCCACACATCTTCACTTCTTAAAAAACGTTTGTACAAAATATTCGTACATATATATCTAAGACGCCCTCCATCTCTTCTCAACACCTTAATCCATGCTGTCGGCTTCATCTCACAATCGAGCAAACATCCCACTGCCGTGTCCTCTCTCTTTAATAACAAATAAAGCTCTTTCTATTACTAAATACCCATTCCACTCATAATGCCTTTGCATCAACTGTCTCCTTTCACTAGCTATTTTCACCCAGGATTCACCAAACTCACAAAATTCTATGTTTTTTCCATCCCATTATCATTCTCCTCCCTCCCCTTGCTAGTCCTCAGTCATGGCATGCTTGCTTTGTCATTGTCATGCTTCTTACAACATTCCTTCAATCTCGTGCAACTATCGGAATAAATTTGTATCTCTCCATTCATCCGCGTTTCAACATTCTCTACAATTCTCTTACCAATAACCAAAAAGTTCCCTCCTTCTCAGCGTTCCTAGAAAATTGGATTTTTAACAACAGCAAACTTTTCTCATTGTTTGTTTTTTTATATGCACAGATAACGGAACTTTTTGCCAGTACATAGAAATCTTTTGGTTGTTTTTCTGGTTGCATCCAGTTCACAAGCGTCCCTGGGGCCTTGGGGTAATACATTACCAAGCAACCAATTTATCTTTCTCTCTCTTTATAGCCGTCTTCGTCCGAGCTTTGCATCTCAATTTTACTTTCCTTTTCAAAGCACTAAGACCACTGCCACACACCATCACCACCCTGCTATTGACTACCATAATAACCCTACCCTTCACCGCTATCACTATCCTGCCCATAATTACAGTCACATCCCCCCCTACACATCATACCCTTCATTGTCATTACCACCTTACCCTCCTATATCCTTAAAACCCTTCCCTTGACCATCAACATCACTCAATCCTTAATTATCTTCAGCACTGCCCTTGGCCACCTGCATCACCCAGTTCCTCATTGATATCAACGTCCTTCAACAAGGCTCTAAGTAATCTTCCCCAATTACGGAGAGGATGGTCACTAACCTCTTCAATGGTTCTCTCTTCATTCAACAAGACAATAAGAACCGGTCCAACAGCACCCATCACAAACAGTTTCCTCTTTTTTCATGTTTTTCACTATCCCTCATTCCCTTTTCTATTTTTTCAACTATCCTTCCCTTCCTCTTACACAGAATCCCGATCCCTTCCAAGTGCTACACAGTCGTAACGGGTTGTGGCATTCTCCTGATAGTTCCTTTCCTACCCTTCCTCTTTCGCATATTACAACAACACAATTCTCATCTTCATCTCCACCATTTCCACCCACTTTCAGCCGCTGCGTACTAGAGCCAAAATGACTATAAACACTACCACTCACTATTAACCAATACCTACTAAAACCACAATCACCATCACCTCTGTAAATCTGTCCAATCTACTTCTACCCCTTCACCAGATACATCGCGGTGACCCAGCCCATCAAATACGCCCATTCGAAGAATAACAAACGCATCGTCTTCACAATCGCCATCATATGGACGGTATCGGTGGCGATCGGCAGTCCACTCTTCTTCGTGAACCAGTGGAACGTGTCCAAGAAGAAGGACGTTCTCACCAACGAGTGCGCTTTCCTTAACGCGGACTTCATCCTCTATTCGTCCATATCTTCATTCTACATTCCCTGCATCGCCATGATCTATCTCTACTGCCGGATATTCAAGGTAAAGAGCAGTTATTTCTCTTTATCTCCATTAACTGTCTCTCTACCGCTGGATGTTCAAAGGTAAGGAGCATCTATTCATCTCCCTTAATCCCCATAATCATTCTCTTATCCAGGATAATCAAGGTAAGGAGCATCTTTATCTTTTGTATCGCCATGAACTTTTTCTACTGCGGGATATTCAAGATAATAAGCATCAATATCAGCTGGATCATCCTTGTCTGATTCTTCTAAAGCATATTTGGGATGAGGAAAGGTATAAGTGTTCTGTTTTCAGGTTTGTGTTTCACTAATTAAAATAGTTGGATATTTTTGCGTTTCTGTTATTAAGTTACCTTATCCTAGTTGTTTTTTACAGCTAGGATACCTTTTTGCTTCTAACTGGCCTTTTTCAGCACGACTTTTTTTAATCTCATAGATTTTGTTCCTTCTGTTTTGTTTTTCCAAGCAAACCCAACTTTTTTCCTCAGAAGGTTTCCATGCCAGTCATTCTTATTTTCTTTACATTCCCTTGTTCAAACCAATATTTGTTTCCTGCTATTGTGTTTAATAGCAGGAAACACAGGACTTGTCTCATGACTCCTTTCGTTATCTGTAATTTTGTATCGATAGAGATATTCATTCCAGGAAATGCTTTGTTTCATCCTGCCTCTCTTCAGTAAAGCCGATGTTACTTGTGTTAAGCTCTCTGTCCCTGCAAACATTTACTCCCAGCTCCATTTTGTGCTCTACAAGCTTTGCCTATTTCTCTGTTTTCTTGGCTTCCCAGATGAATTTTTGTCACAGAGAGCTTTTGTTTCCAGCTGGATTTTTGTACCCACCTAACTTTTGGATCACACGGATCTCGGTTCCAGTTCGGGGTTGTCCAAATTGAAGATTGACTGAAGTCTTTCAGTACAAGCGGATTCCTACTGCTGTACCAGATAGTGAACTGGAAATTGTAGCATAGTCTACCTTCCTATAAATTTCGTCAATGGTGTCCTATTTAACGCGTCCCTTTCATTATATCACGTTCTACAGAACTGTTATTAATACCAAATATGCTTGTCTAGATATACCTTTCCACGTGCTTGTATTTAATATCCCATTCCACGTGTTTGCGTTCAATATCTCATTCCACGTGATCGATATTGATTTCCATTCGTCCTACTCTTGTGTTTAGCCAACTGGGGGAGAAACTTGTACGTGTAGTGAGTGCTTCGATAAATAATAATCAATTATTTTACCAAGTAACTTCGTTAGACTTGAGATAATTCATATAATATAACAAACAAAACATCCCAAGCCATACTTAGATTTTGTATAATTTATTTTGATGATAAATATGCAATTATCAAAAGTCTAGTTTAGAATAGTTGAAGGCTTAAGATACAGCTAATCTCTTGCCACAATTGAATACAATGTGGGGGTTCATTACGGAGTTATCAAAGGACTGAAACAGACTGTGCAAACTGTGCTACTTGTTGACATCCGCTGTGTTCAGTGTGTGTGTGAGTGTCTCTGTTTGTTGCATGTTGGTTATTGCTATTTGTTTTCGTGTTGTTGGTGTTACTGTACTTGTTGTACCTCTGTGTTTAATGCCTGTGTTTGTTGGGTTTCTGTGCTTTCTGTTCTTAATTGTGGTTTCCATTTACAGGGCAAACAGATATCCTTTTGAAGTTATTGTATTCAGATGACTAGGATAGAGGAGCATTATGTGAAATGTCTAGCAAAATTACCAAGGAAAATATTGGTGTGGTTTGGTGTTGGGCTCTAAGACCTTCTAACAGTGGGAGGGTGATTCTGTCTACCACATTATTGCTTACTGACCACCTAACATGCATATTTTAGTCCAAAAACTTGTTGATAATTAATGTAAACTCCCAAGTGTATATGCACCGATAAGCTGGGAACACCTCTCAGTGAATTCCAAAGGAAGACATTTGGAGAAGGAATTTAAGCATTAGTTTAACTTCTACTGTTTTCATTTAATCTACTCGTACATTACAGCTGACATGTACAAATGTTCTCCAGCTATATTATATTCCAGCTCAGTTATTATATTCTGATTGAGTTACTCCCCGATACTGCGGCAATAATACACAGAAAATAAACAGAAAATGCCACCATCAAGCACAACATCAAAATTTCGGGGGAAAGAACTCAGTAGAGATATAACAAGATGAATTGCCACTCTCAGGAATAAAGCAGACACCCCTAGGAGCGAGAGAGAGAGAGGGAGAGAGAGAGAGAGAGACGAGAGAGGAGAGAGAGCGAGAGAGAGAGAGAGAGAGAGAGAGAGAGAGAGAGAGAGAGAGAGAGAGAGAGAGAGGAGAGAGAGAGAGAGAGAGAGAGAGAGAGAGAGAGAGAGAGAGAGAGAGAGAGAGAGAGAGAGAGAGAGAGAGAGAGAGAGAGAGAGAGAGAGAGAGAGAGAGAGAGAGAGAGAGAGAGAGAGAGAGAGAGAGAGAGAGAGAGAGAGAACCCTGACCGATATATAAACATGGGCAACGAGGAAGACACGTAGTTGATGTTTGTATTCATTAAGCTAGTGGTGAGCAACGCATTTCACATAAGAAGCAGCGGGGCTTTGTCTTAGCCCCAGGGAGTCCTGGAGTGCACATGGAATATAATATAAGTATGTGCATGAATTCTTGTAAATAATGTCCTTGGCGCCTAACTCTAGTGTACATGTATGTATGCAGATGTAATTATGTGTATGAACGCGATAAAGTTCACTTGAACTTTGATAATTGATTCATAAGAATATGTTAAATATATGTAGCATTATTTTGTGTAAAGAATACCTGTGTTTTTTTTTATTTATATTTATACATGCTGCATGTTTGTAATGATGTGTATGTACGGTAATGTATACACGTTTGCTGAAGAACAACTATAGTCCTACAAGAGGGTGAGTTTCTCCGTAGTTGGAAGACAACGAGGGACAACTATTCACTCAATTCCGGATGACATGTGGGCTAGAAGAGCCCGACTCTCACAGACAGGTCGGGGTCTGCCCCATTACCCCCTTTAAGAAGGATCGGCTTCTGTTGCGACTCCGATGAAGCGAGGCAAAGGATGAGAGAGGGAGAGGGGGGCGACAGAGAGAGAAAGGAGGAGAAGAGGGAGAGGAAGAGAATGGCAGAGGGAGAAGAGATGGGATGAAAGTAATGAAATTTAATGTCGATTTCTAGCTATTGAGAACATCACAACATATGTGGTCTTAATGACTCTTCCGACAAGGTGTAGTCTGACAAGGTGTAGCCAGGATGGGGTACGTGATGGAGTTTCAAGCTTCACTGTTTTTTTTATAGGAACTCATGGTCAAGCGGGTAGAGCGGCGGGAGTAGTGTAGATAGCAGCGTCTCTTACGACGTGATAATGGTCCGTCCTGGACCATTATCAAGTCGTATGTAAAGGGTCCAGGATGGACCGAAACGTCGGCGTTTCTTTATCTTCTGAGTACTGATTTGGTCAGCATATCTTCCGCCACGTAATTGTGACTCATCGTTTGCACAAAGCTGGAACAATAATTAAAAAGCTTATCGAATCTATTTTATATCAAATATAATTTTTCTTGAATTTACATAAAGATACATTACATTTTTTATCAAATCTATATGTATGACTTAAATGATAAACGTCATGTGTTTTAATCTTTTGTACGATCACTATAAAAATAACTTTGATTCATAATCAAATATATTCAAAACCACAAAGCCACTTTACACGTAAAGTTCTTCGAATTTTTCATGTAATAGATTAACCACATAAATAATTATTTGGTTAATAATCTTCTAAAGTTAGCCTTTTCTTCCTTATTTTGAGAAATCCAAGACTAACACTGAAAAGTTAGAATCAGTGAAAACCTATTTCAATATCTGATAAAATTTTATTAATGGGCACTTTAATGAGAAGTGAAAAATGATAAGGAAAATAAACTGTAATTACCATTTGCATAATTTCTGTTCCTCTCTTGCAGGCGCTGAAGGAGCGAGCGAGGAAGAAAAAACCTAAAGCGACCGAGATCAAAGCTGGGAGCGTCATAGAGAACGTGGCCCAGACCAGGATGCTAGCGGAGACTACCTTAGGCACAGAGGTAAACTTGCCAACGGCGAAGGCTGCCACGCTCATCGAGGAGGACAAGAATACCAACAATACTAGCAATAGCCAGGTAAGAGTGGTTGACGGGGGCAATAGTAACACATTCCAATTAGTACGCTGATCTCTCTCTCTCTCTCTCTCTCTCTCTCTCTCTCTCTCTCTCTCTCTCTCTCTCTCTCTCTCTCTCTCTCTCTCTCTCTCTCTCTCTCTCTCTCTCTCTCTCTCCTCTCTCTCTCTCTCTCTCTCTCTCTCTCTCTCTCTCTCTCCTCTCTCTCTCTCTCTCTCTCTCTCTCTCTCTCTCTCTCTCTCTCTCTCTCCTTCCTCTCTTCGCTGCCTTCCTTTCCTTACTCCTTCACACTTTCAACACAATACCAGCGATGGGACTTTGCCCACCGAAGCCTTAGAAACACCCCCAAGCAGTTAATCCCCGACAAGATATCTTTCCTCTTCTCCTTCTCCTCCTCGCCCGAAGAGCCAGACCAGTTCGAGGGACAATACCTGACATCGAAACTTACATTGAAATATTACCTAATTCTAATTAATACATGGCAAAAGTTGTATGTATGTATGTGTGTGTGAGTGTGAAACCAAAAAGTATATTTTTCGTTCCATGCTTTTTAATAGTCATCTTTAGTTTGTAAATAAATATTACATTAATTTTAGTATAGAAATTGGAATATATATTTTTTTCATTATATCTTCTTTTAATAGGATAAAATTATCATGCAGTGAAAGAAACTGAGATATTAAAGACAAATTGTTGTACTATGTCGAGATGCACATTAATTTATTTTCGCAACTCTGTATAAATCTGTTATTCAAACTTTGATGTTATTAATTGATTATTCAACTTAGAGACAGTGTCGAGTTTGATGAGATAGTTAAACCAATAATTATTCATAAAACTGCTATCTAGCTTGTTATATTTTAGCGCATATTGCGTACTAGGAAAGAACATTAAGCGAGTGGCTACACTTTTTTCGTTTGATTCTCTCGGTGGACAAAGTATGCATTTAGTTGTATTTTGAAAAACCATCAATATACTTGAAACATTTCAGCTCAAATTCAGGCCAGGTCTATATGAAAGGTCACTTGAATACATAATTCTTTAGTGTGATTTATCCAGTCTTGATCAGTTAATGTGTAATTTTGGGGGGATAAAAATCACACTTAAACAATACAACGGGATTTATGTACACTGATTCCGTGTTGCATGATACACACTGGATCATTGCTTCGTGCTTCACACTAATGCAGACTGTATGGTATACACCGTGTTAGTCCTCCCTGGTATACAATAGGTCTGGATACATGCTGCATACTGATTCAGTGCTGAATAGTACCCACTGGCTCAGTGCTGAATAGTACACACTGGCTCAGTGCTGAATAGTACACACTGGCTCAGTGCTGAATAGTACACACTGGCTCAGTGCTGAATAGTACACACTGGCTCAGTGCTGAATAGTACACACTTGCTCAATGCAGCATAAACTACACTAGTTCAGAGTTGAGAAGTGAGGATGATCCCTCAGCCCCTCCTCCTAAGATTTCCAAACGTCAAGAAATTATCGTACTAAAGTGCCCCGTATCATTACCCACCAGCGGTCCCTTCACGGTGGTACAACACAATGCGATACACAATGATCTAGTTAGGGTTCGGTAGTGTAGTCAAGGGGTTTCAAAAGATTACGAATCAGAGCGGTGGCTTTTGTTTAGTGAAGTGCGGCCGACAGTGGAGCATTAAAGTGCGTTCCTTGGTAGTTCGGGTCGATACGTAACAATGAGGTGCACATTGTGTGTTGCATAAGACGGTGAAGAGTGGTACAGGTAAGGTAATTTCACGAGAAATGCAACAGTAAAGCACTGGGAAAAGGATAGGAGGGAAAATGATTTGGAATAGGACGGATGGATAGAATAGCGCCTCTAATGACCAGGATTATCGTGGGATCGAGAGTGGGACCTGCAAGGAAGCGAGGCCGATGCTGTTCAGACTTGTCTGTCCAGTACATAGCGGAGCAATGGTGCCATGTGCAGGCGATGAGTCACAATAAAGTGGCTAAAGTAAGTTGACCAGACCACACACTAGAAGGTAAAGGGACGACGACGTTTCGGTCCGTCCTGGACTAATCTCAAGTCGACTGAGAATGGTCCAGGACGGACCGAAACGTCGTCGTCCCTTCACCTTCTAGTGTGTGGTCTGGTCAACAATGGTGCCATGTTCTATGTTGGGCGAGGGTCCGTGTTTTCCGTGGAAAGTTACAAAGGTGAGGCGCAGTGCGATGTTGCGACGGTGTAAGTCTGTAAGACATGAGGTTTGTAGCGACGGTGTATGTCTGAAGGACACGGGGTTTGTGGCGACGGTGTATGTCTGTGGAAAATGAGAGCTGTGGCAAAATTTTAGTGTGTGAGGACGCTGCCCTCTGACGGTTACCTTACATATCTAGTGAACGCGGCGCAGTAAGACGCATTAGTTAGTGTGCGTTACAGTGTAGTGCGACTGCATATATATTGGTTACGGAACAATTGGGTATGCTACACTGCAGTGCTCCTAGAGTGGAGGTCAGTGGGGTGACGCTGCCTAGTTTGGTGTAGTTCTGTCCGACGGCCACTTCCCCCTCTTCTTAATCAAGAGACGAAGACTCTCAAGTGGCTGCCAGAATCCGACTCTAATCACAGCGGTTCGTGAGCTGAGCCATCCTGCCTCCTCTTCTTCCTTGCCCCTTGTCATTCTCCCCAAGTCTCTCTTTTTTATTATTCTTTCTTCTTTCATTCTTTTTTTATCTTTACTTTCATTGTCTTTTGGTTCATAAAATTCTTTCTTGGTCTTTCACCTTCATCGAACACTTTCTTATCTGCCTTTCTGTTTTGTACTTGAATTTTTTATTGCTTCTTTCTCTCTTACCACCTTCCTTTCTTTCTCTTTTTTTTTATCTAGCGTTCCTAACTTTCTGTTCTTTCACCTCTCACTCATTGTTCTCTCAATTTGAGTTCCCTTTATCATTTCTCCTCTCCCAATGACGTTCTCACTTTTCTCCTCCCTGATGCTCTCACTTCATCTCTCACTCGTGTTCTCACATCCTCTCCCATCGCCCCTCCTCTTCTCATTCCCCTATTCTCACCCCTCATCTCCCTATACCCCCTTGCCACTTATTCCTATATATTCTCCATCCTTCAATAATCTTTCTACCATTCATTTACTCGTTCTTTCTTTTCCATCTTTCTCTTTTCTCAATTTAAAGAAAAGAAATTCATAGGACCAGCAGTTAGTTGGTCGTATTTGATGGAAAGGACAACCCGACGAATTGAATACTATTCTCACAATTGCTAACACTAACTTGGGGCAACAATTAAGCGAACACCTACTATATTGTCTTTAATATTAACATTTCATAATTTGAGCTCATTTTTATCCCTGTCATCTTAAGTATTTAAGTAGTTTCTATTTTAATATTATTTGTACTATTGTACCTAAGTGATGGAAATATTATTATTATTATTATTATTAGTAGTAGTAGTAGTATAGTAGTAGTAGTAGTAGTAGTAATAGTAGTAGCAGTAGTGTTTTATTGTTATTTTTATTTGTTATTCTCAGCAATACCTCGCTACGAGCTCGCATTGTCTTGAGGATAATCATCGACACACAACTATCCATCGCCACCACTCCTTCAACACCCTTCCAGCCACAACATCTATCCCACTCTCCTAGTCACCACAGACCCATCTCACCCTTCCAGTTCCCTGCACATCTTGCACATTCTTCCCACCTTTCTAGTCACCAAACCATCCACACCCACAGACTTTCCAGTCTCTATGCATTCCACGTCCTTCTAGTTTCCAAGCTTTCCATACTCTTTCTAGTTATAAAACCATCTAAACCTTTCTAATTACCACACAATACAGTCACAATCCTTCAATCTAATCCTTCCAGTCAAATCCCCACGTTGTTCTTTTCACCAAATCCTTCACACCCTTACAATCACCACACACACTCTGCCCTTCACAACAACCTTTAAGAGCCATCAATTAAAATGAAGCAGCATTGTTAGCATTGCTGCTAATTTGTTATCCTCGTTATTGGACAATATGATGCAAGGCGAATATAAGCTACGGAAAGATGGGAGTCGAAGGAAATTCCATTTCCTCCAGAGGAAAATCGGAGGAAAAATCGAAGGAAAATCCATTTCCTCCGACTCTCATTCTCATGAGTCGCAGGAAACGACTCAACACCTCAGTTAAGGAGCTTCGAGGGAGTTGTCATGGAGGTGAATCCTCTGTCAATAATCTACAATTACATATATATATATGTCGTACCTAGTAGCCAGAACGCACTTCTCAGCCTACTATGCAAGGCCCAATTTGCCTAATAAGCCAAGTTTTCACGAATTAATATATTTTCTCTAATTTTTTCTTATGAAATGATAGAACTACCCATTTCATTATGTATGAGGTCAATTTTTTTTTATTGGAGTTAAAATTAACGTAGATATATGACCGAACCTAACCAACCCTACCTAACCTAACCTAACCTATCTTTATAGTTAAGGTTGGGTTAGGTAGCTGAAAAAGATAGGTTAGGTTAGGTTAGGTAGGTTAGGTAGTCGAAAAACAATTAATTCATGAAAATTTGGCTTATTAGGCAAATCTGGCTTTGCATAGTAAGCTGAGAAATGCGTTCTGGCTACTAGGTACGACATATATATATATATATATATATATATATATATATATAATATATATATATATATATATATATATATATATATATATATATATGTCGTACCTAGTAGCCAGAACTCACTATTCAGCCTACTATTCAAGGCCCGATTTGCCTAATAAGCCAAGTTTTCCTGAATTAATATATTTACTATAATTTTTTTCTTATGAAATGATAAAGCAACCCTTTTCTCTATGTATGAGGTCAATTTTATTTTATTGGAGTTAAAATTACGTAGATATATGACCGAACCTAACCAACCCTACCTAACCTAACCTAACCTATATTTATAGGTAAGGTTAGGTTAGGTAGCCAAAAAAAGCTAGGTTAGGTTAGGTTAGGTAGGTTAGGTAGACGAAAAAACATTATTCATGAAAACTTGGCTTATTAGGCAAATCGGGCCTTGAATAGTAGGCTGAGAAGTGCGTTCTGGCTATTAGGTACGACATATATATATATATATATGTCGTACCTAGTAGCCAGAACGCACTTCTCAGCCTACTATGCAAGGCCCGATTTGCCTAATAAGCCACGTTTTCATGAATTAATTGTTTTTCGACTACCTAACCTACCTAACCTAACCTAACCTAACTTTTTCGGCTACCTAACCTAACCTAACCTATAAAGATAGGTTAGGTTAGGTTAGGTGGGGTTGGTTAGGTTCTGTCATATATCTACGTTAATTTTAACTCCATAAAAAAAAATTTACCTCATACATAATGAAATGGGTAGTTTTATCATTTCATAAGAAAAAAATTAGAGAAAATATATTAATTCAGGAAAACTTGGCTTAGTAGGCAAATCGGGCCTTGCATTGTAGGCTGAGAAGTGCGTTCTGGGTACTAGGTACGACATATATATATATATATATATATATATATATATATATATAATATATATATATATATATATATATAAATTCACCCATGTTAATTTTATATTTTCCTTCCCAACGGCTGTAACATACAAGCTTTGCTGTTGTTGTTCTCAGGACGAAGACGAGGAGGATGGGGATGACGTGGTTGGTCTCGGGGGAGAGGAGAACTGCCACATTATCAAGAACCCAAAGCCGGAGGAGCTTAACCTGGAGTCCAAGGAGGAGATGCAGTACGTATGAGAGGACCGGGCTTTGTGTGTGTGTGTGTGTGTGTGTGTGTGTGTGTGTGTGTGTGTGTGTGTGTGTGTGTGTGTGTGTGTGTGTGTGTGTGTGTGTGTGTGTGGGTGTGTGCTTATGCATTTGCTTCATCGTGTGTTAGCATATTTCCAACATCTTTACTTCATCAGTTGGTTGCAACAAAATACTTTCAGGTATGTCTTCTAATCAGGCAAAGGATTTCCGAATGCCCCCAATCACGTGTGCTGTGGTAATTACATAAATTTATCTAAACTTTCTCTCCTCTCCTCCCTTCTACACCCTCTCTTTCTCTCTCTCTCTCTCTCTCTCTCTCTCTCTCTCTCTCTCTCTCTCTCTCTCTCTCTCTCTCTCTCTCTCTCTCTCTCTCTCTCTCTCTCTCTATCTATCTTTCTCCGTCTATCCGTCACTATTTTTCTTTACACCAGACCATTAGGACAGGTCGGTGGAGACACACTCTCGCTCTATGCAGGATAGGGGGTCGATCCGGGATCTCTGAAGTAATTGGCCACTATTTTTCATCAACTCTCCTTTTATACCAGTTATATGTCCATATAACTCAGTGCCAGTTTTCCCCATATCATCGCTTTCTGTTGCCATTTTTCAGAATCTTTATCCTCATATCCCTTCGAAACGCGTTATAGTTTTATATCCTTCCTGAGATATAACCTATCCTTCCTGATAGTTTTTATATCCTTCCTGAGGTCAGGTAACATGAGATTCCTCATGTTACCTGACCTTATGTCTCGACAAATCTTCCCGTTTAACTACCTTCTTCCTTGTGCTAGGACAGCGGGGGCGACAGCATTAACTCCGTCTATACAGTCGACGAGGAACGGGGCCGCTGAGGGCAGCAGTGTGGGTCTCGAACCGGCGTCACCAAGAAAGGCTCTACTCGTCAAGCAGAAGAAAGTTAAGGTAAGCTGAGCGAAGCGGAGGAGAGAGGCGCTGAGGGAATGTGCATAAATGGTTCAAATGAAGGTGATGAAGGTCACAGGAAGATAACGTATGGTTTAATAGATGGTTTCTAATCGTTCAAAGTAATGTACAAAAAATTGGTTCGCAAGGAGACAAGAAAAGGAGGTGATTGTAAGAGAAGAGGATTTCTATGGAGATTTTTAAATAGCTTAAAGGAAAATTTAAAAGGGTTTAAAAAAATTATGAGAGATTCAAATTAAGTGGAAGTGGTTTAATTTGCAGTGAATTAATGTTTAAATAAAGTAATGAAAAGTTAAAATATAGGAAGAAAATCTTAAAATATTGCCAAACTAGTTACAAAAAAGGTGACGCAGAGCTTAAAAGCAAGATGGAAATGAATTTAAATAAATGAAGAAATGTTTGGACTTTTCGAAACTCGTTTTCTAAATATAAAATCGGCATAACTTGCCGACCTCTCAAGGTGCTCAACGGAGAACTTAATAAACACCTCCAAAAGTTACCTGATCATTCGGGATGTGACGCACATGTCAGACTGTGAACAGCTGCGTCTAATAGCCTGGGTGACAAGACCGCCAACCACCAGGAAGTTAGGTTAGAGACAAATCCGCTGGGACATTGATCTCTCGAGCCAGCAACAGGTAGAAAACAGGGAGGTGGTAAGTTGAAGGATTTAAAGGAAAGTACAGAAGAGGATTTGGGAAGGAAAGCGATTTAAATATTGGTGAAGCTGGGATTACTATTTGCTGAAAGACTCAGAAGGGTGAATATTCTGATAACAAATGCTAACAATTCAATTGTTCACACAGGAATCACACCAACGTGATATATATCAATGATAAAATCCTCTAGGGATGTTTGTATGACCTTTACCAATCCACGCTGGTACAGTGGTAGAGTATGTGGTAGGCAAAGCCTTGGTCGCAGGTTCGCGTCACCTTACAGCCCAAGTGGATTTCATCAATGCAATTTGTATTATATATTTCATATATATCTTGAAAGAAAACTCGATGAAACGGGTAAAACATCACGAAAGGCGAAGAGTTCGAGGAAAACCATCACATAGACACTTTATCAGGCGAGAAAGCAGGATGGTTTAAGAGTGCAGATGTCTTAAAGCGAGCGTGTAGAAAGGTTCGTCTAGAGGGCAGAGACAAGCAGAAATACACTCCAGAATCCCCAACCAGGTTCAGAAGGTCAATGAAAGTTCACGATGGGATCAAACCAAATTTTGGATGTCGTGGAGAACCAGCGGGGTGATATTGTGTGTGGTATAGGGCGAAGGGGAGAGGCAGATACGCCATGCAGGGAGAGGAATAAGACAGGGATGAACGGATAGATCGGTAAGAATACATAAAGAGGATAGCTAGGATGTATAGAAAAGATGGCAGGGATGCTGGTATAGAATGGCAAGGATACAGTGAGACGATACCAAATATGCAGGGAGATGAATGCATGATGATGACAGAGATGCTGTGGGGAAGATGGGAAGGATAGAGAGACAGGAAGGCAAAGAAGAATGGAAGAGGATGGCAGGGATGCTGGGAGGGGGATGGCAGCGTTGCAGGAAGATGATGGCTGGAATATAGGAAAAGTGCGCAGAGTCAGATGATGTGAAATATAAGCGAATGAATACTGGAGGGAAGGTGAAGCAAATGAAATTCATAGGTGAGAGGGTGGGAATGAAACTGAAGGGGAAAGCCTTGTGTAAATCCAAGTCTCGAACACATCTACATACATGTGATCAAACAGCTCAGTAAACCACCATTTGCATGCACAACATCGTACAGTATTTTGCCTAAACTGTCACACATTTATATATTTTTTTGGCCACAAATTTGAAATATTCTTTCGCTGTGTAATACAAACGATGCAAGTTTTCTATTCGCGGTTTCACTTCACTACAGTATAAGATATCTTTCAATATGTAATGCTCACTCTATACACAGGTGCAGTATAACATATAAGGAAACAACTTTGCAGCAAGATAACAGTTTAACCGAAACTGCTTAATTGATGATTTCCATATGAAATTTTTTTTTATTATCAAAATATAACAGTTATAGCAAATGTGAATCATGCAACTAATGTGTGTAGCTCGGTGTATTCCATAGTTTGTTCTAGGTGAATTATATGAACAATATTTTGGTTTCACTAATATTAGAAGAAGATATAAATATTGATAAATCAAATATCAGATAATATTTGTTCTTGTAATATTACATTTTTGTGATTGTCATGAGTGCTGCCAAAAATGTTGACATTTTCTTGTTGTGAATATGTCAACATTAAAATATGTTGACACAACAAAAATGTTGTGCAAAAAGTCAATATACTTTGTGTCACGGTTACGTCTGCCCAAAATATTTTTTAATTCATCCTTAACTATAACAGAGCTCATTTTGTAGCTCTCACATGTAAGTTTATGGAATTAGCCTACGACTACAAATTTCTCTCTCTCTCTCTCTCTCTCTCTCTCTCTCTCTCTCTCTCTCTCTCTCTCTCTCTCTCTCTCTCTCTCTCTCTCTCTCTCTCTCTCTCTCTCTCTATCTCTCACACACACACACACACACACACACACACACACACACACACACACACACACACACACACACACACACACACACACACACACACACACACACACACACACACACACACACACACACACACACACACACACACACACACACACACACACACGTAAACATATAACCAACAAAGGGAACTACGAGAGCAGTAACAGCACCTCTCCTCTGCCAGGTAATTCCACTACGGGCTCACCATAGCCCGTGCTTCTTGAAACGTTTTGTTCCGAGTAGCTGAATCTAAAACAACAACAACAACAACACCTTCTCCCCTCCAACATAACTAAGACCATCCACTCTCTTTTGCTCCATCTACAGATCCAGTCCAAAAGAAATGGAGCAGCGGCCAACGTCAGTCGGACGGTGGAAGAAAGTGGGGAGCTGTTGGAGAAGAAGGACAAAAAAGCGTCTTCCGCTCGCTTCACCATCTACAAGGTCAACAAAGCCAGCAAGAAAAAAAGGGAGAAATCCTCAGCAAAGAAAGAGAGAAAAGCCACCAAGACCTTAGCCATCGTTCTAGGTAAGGAAGGATGGAGATTGGAGATTGCTACAAAGAAAAAATTGGTAGCGCTAAAGGGGTAAAAAAGATGGATATTGCTACTGAGGATGATGTAGATGACTGATTTGTGATATAGAGATTGTTAGAAGAGGAAAAGAAGAAAAGGGATAGAAAGATGTAGATTGATAGAGTGGTGGGGGGGGGGAGGGGTGATGGATATTGCTGAAGGGGAAATAGAGATTTTTGGCATGGTAGATGGTTGATTACTTTTAGTGAAGATGATTATTGCTATGGAGATGATGGAGATGGTTGAAGGGGAAAATGAAGACTTGCTGGAAGGAGATATGAAGATGACTGTATAAAAAGTCAGTAAACAGCTGAAGGAGTGGGATGAAGTACATGAAAGGAGGAATGAACTTTTCGACAAATCGAGAAGAAGATAGTTTAAGCATTTAATTTTATGTTTATTTATCTGTCTGCCTGTCTTTCGCGCTTTCTCTGTCTGTCTGTCTGTCTGTCTGTCTCTCTCTCTCTCTCTCTCTCTCTCTCTCTCTCTCTCTCTCTCTCTCTCTCTCTCTCTCTCTCTCTCTCTCTCTCTCTCTCTCTCTCTCTCACACACACTCTCTCTCTCTCTCTCTCTTTCTCTCTTCTAGAACCACTCCTCTACTTTGCTTTACTAAGCAGCTCATTTCTCTTCTTCCATTGTCGTCATGAATCAACTTATCCGTTATCAATTTTAATTTTCACCTTTTACGAGGTCTGCAACAAATGTATTTTTGTAAGGAAAGAAAGACCGTCATGATTTGTTACTTATATCATAAATGTTGAAAATTTAAATAGATGACAGGTGAGTTGATTAAGGACGACCATCCAAGAAGAGAAATGAGCTTAGAAAAGGTAAGTAGAGAAGCAGTTCTAGAAGTAGTGAAGAAAAAGACAGAGAGAGATTGAGATAGAGAAACAGACAGAAAATTAAATGAGCAAATTCATCTATCTTATTGTTTAACTAAACGTATAAATCCCAGCCACTGGCATAAGTTAATACTTCAATAACTCTGTAATACTAGTAATAATTAGAGGCCAAATTGTGTGCCTTAGCTAACTCAATAATTGTTGTGATATTAATTTATCAATTCACGTCATATATGTCAAGAGTAATCCTTGGTATATGACAAGGCAGCGAGCCTTGGGCCTAGTAATATGAATTGAAAATTAATAAATTTCATTCAAATTATCGCATTTAGAATTATATATAAATGTACACTGATATGTATCACGTTAATGCGATTTATGTGTTTCTGAAGTTGGGACGTAATGTGAGGGACCACTCTGCTCTTCCACCCGAATGCTTGGGGGTGATACGTGGACACTTGAACTGGCTTCAGTAGGGACCTTCAGACGTCCTGTGATTTCAGTAGAAATCCGGTTGTATGACTTTAACAAGTCTTGGTGGTCTAATGGTATTGTACGCGGCCTGGCAATTATAGAATACCACCTATAGCTGTATTTGTAGGCAACTTCAACCCTCAAAAAAGAGGATATGCATAACCCGGGAGAGTCTTATTGGGTTCCCACGTATGCTGGCATATATTGTCTTCTCCTACCACCCCCTTATATATGTAAGTGTTCATTTTATTTAAAATATATTATAAAAAAGGAGTTACATATTAGGTACAAAGTTGTGAATCATAAGTTGTCAAGTTCCTCCAGCTCCTAAGATGGCGGACAGGAACCCTGAATGCAGTGTGCATTCAGGGTTCCTGTTCCCCTCTGTATTGCCACGCTGAGGCGCTGGAAAAAGAAGCTGGTAGGCCTCTTGGGCCTCTTGTTGCTTCATATATATATATATATATATATATATATATATATATATATATATATATATATATATATATATATATATATATATATATTCAAATATGTTGGGTTCTTTCCCAAAGGCAAAATGCAAAAAATACTTTGAAAAAAGGACCCCGAGAGGGTTTGAAAGTTTTAAGGTTTTTATATACATATAGACATGCCCTACCCATCTAACACTCGCATGCCCTCCCTGTCTCCACCCTCCCTAACACACACCCTCCCTGTCTCCACCCTCCCTAACACACACCCTCCCTGTCTCCACCCTCCCTAACACACACCCTCCCTGTCTCCACCCTCCCTTTTCCACCCTTCCAACGCACACAGGCGTTCCACGTTTCCATTCCTAATATATCCCTTTTTCAAACAACGTTTAATCAAAATTTTGTACCAAGAATTCAAATCTGCCACATGAACATGCATTTTGAAAATGAAAATATGAATTCATTAAAATTTTAACTCTTGGTAAAGTCTAGGGACTATAGTCACCGCATTTCACATCGCCAGACGAAGTCAGGGTTGGAAGCCTTGAGCCATGCTCCTCAGAGATGGCACTGGGCAAAACCCAACCTCCAATGATATCCGATAAAATTATAATTAATCCTGAAAAGTTTAATGAAACTGGTCCTAAGTGTTTAGCCTCCATCCTTGAACAATGAGACAAAAAGACAGGATCTTCTATATGTACCCTGGACAGTCTTTCTATGCAGGGGTAAATATACAAATAAAAATAATTATTATAATAATAATTACAATTATTTTATTTCTTATTCCATTCCCCCCCCTCTCCCGTCCCATCCCAAATCATTATCCTCTCCCAGTGCTATATAGTCGTAATGGCCTGGCGTTTTCCCATGATAGTTCCCTTCCTTTCTGTTGGTCTTGTCACTAAGAAATTAATATAACTTCCTTCCCTACGTCCAACTGGGATTTATTTTGCTCACTCAACCGTGTAGCCTCATTCGAGGGGAGGAAGAGGAGGCACGAGAAAGAGGGGAAGATAGGACAAGGGAAGAGTGGATGGAGAGAAAGTCAAAGAGAGCGAGAGAGAGAGAGAGAGAGAGAGAGATGAATGAGTCAAAAGTTAGCAAATATGGAACGAGGGGAAATGTAATAATTACAGCGATGGAGAGGGAATGCTTTTCCAAGGAGTGAGAGGGGAGAAAAGGGAAGGGAACAGGCGAGTGTATGCAAAGAAGAGGGAGAGGAAGCCAGGATAAGACAGGAGTAGGGATAAAGGAGCTTCAACACTGATCACTTTTGCCCTGCTCATCACAACATGACAAGAACATTACCCACAACCCTACAGCTAGACATTGTGAGCATAACAATATTATCAAAATATAATGAACAAATTATATTAAATGAGGAATCAAGGAATACATTATCAGATCCACGTACAAAATTTCAAATAAAATTTATACGACAGACACCTTATATTGAACAAGTAGGGTACACCATCAATGGAACATAGGCGGAAATTAAGAACCAAAAGCAGGTACAGAGAAATTATTAACAATTTGTTTTGTTAACCGCGTAACTGAAATGGAGTGACATGTGTAGCGTTGGAACCAGAATTTTAACACAGTCTCAAAATATAAATATAACAGTTTAAAAAGCTTAGGAACAGCTGTCAACAAGTCGCAGTAACGAGGCTGAACAAATAGACACCCAACCGACGCATCTGAAAATTAAGCGGTGGTTATGAAGGTGAAAGTGGTGATTGTGGTTGTACTAGAGGGGATAGTGGTGATTTTGGTGGTACTAGAGGTGATAGTGGTGATTGTACTGGAGGTTAGGTACTAGGTACTAGTTAGTCTTGAAAGTTGGGGGTCAAGTGAACTCAAACAAATGTATTAATATTTAGAGGAATCTATATATCCAAAATAATATAAGGAGTAAAATGTATTACTTTTATTAAACGTGTGTATTATAGCTCTTGAAGTACGCTTGAAGAACAATAAATTTAAATATGCAGTACTTTATTTTACAACCTCGTGTAATTAAGCTCGCAAACCCGAATCAAATAATACATTTGTAAAGATGTGCAGCTTAAAGAATAAAAAAAAATATTATGCAAGACAAAAAAAATAATTGTTTATCCATAACTATTAATCCAGAGAATAATAGTTATGGATATATATAGTAATAGATAAGGATAATAATAATTATGGATTCATTTCTATTTTTGCTCCTTATCACAGCCCAGGAGAATTTATCTCCCACTCACAAAAACAAATCGCTGTATCTCTCGTGTTATCTATCCTACAGGTGCATTCTTGGTGTGTTGGGTCCCTTTCTTCACCTGCAACATTGTCGATGCCATCAGCAAGAAGACCCAGAACCCGAGCCTCGAGCCAGGGATGGCCATTTTCGTCCTCACTACGTGGATAGGATACATGAACTCCTTCCTCAATCCGGTTATTTATACCATTTTCAACCCGGAGTTTAGAAAAGCCTTCAAGAAGATCCTTGTATGTCAGAGTTAGCTGCTGTTGTATTTGGCGGTGAATGCGGGTGTTTGTGGCTCTTGTTTGGGTGTTGAGAGTGGGGTAAGGGGAAGGAGAATTTCTGTCACTGTGTTTGTGTATATTGGTGTCAGACGCTGAGGGGAGGGAAGGGGAGTTTTTTGACTGTTTTGTCTGATTGCGTGTGTGTGTGTGTGTGTGTGTGTGTGTGTGTGTGTGTGTGTGTGTGTGTGTGTGTGTGTGTGTGTGTGTGTGTGTGTGTGTGTGTGTATTCACTGAGTTGTATCCACTAAGCTGTTCTTGGAAAAGGTTGAGCTCTGCTCTTTCATCTCGCCTCTCAACTGTCAGTCAATCAACTGTAACATACTACATTTTTTCACATACACTCACACACCCAGGAAGCAGCTCCATAACAGCTATCTAACTCACAGGTACCCATTTACTGCTAGGTAACAGGAGCATCAGGGTGAAAGAAATTCTGCCCATTTGTTTCCGCCTGGTCCGGGAATCGAACCCGTGCCACAGAATTACGTGCCCGGCGCGCTGTCTGCTCAGCTACCAGGACCCCCCCCCCCCTGTGTGTGTGTGTGTGTGTGTGTGTGTGTGTGTGTGTGTGTGTGTGTGTGTGTGTATTTACCTAGTTGTGCTTGCCGGGGTTGAGCTCTGGCTCTTTGGTCCCGCCTCTCAACTGCCAATCAACTAATGTACAGGTTCCTGAGCCTACTGGGCTCTATCATATCTACACTTGAAGCTGTGCATGGAGTCAGCCTCCACCACATCACTGCTTAATGCATTCCATTTGTCTACTACTCTGACACTGAAAAAAATCTTTCTAATGTCTCTATGGCTCATTTGGGTACTCAATTTCCACCTGTGGGTGTGTGTGTGTGTGTTTGTGTGTGTATGTGTGTGTGCGTGTGTGTGTGTGTCTGTGTGTGTGTGTGTGTGTGTTTACTAACTGTATTTACTATTTGTGTCTGCAGAATCGAGCAATTTAGCTCGTGGACCTCGCTTATCTAGCCAATCTATTTTTCCTCTATTATCTCTACTATATATATATTTCTCTCTAACACACACTCACACACACACACATCGCCAGGAAGTAGCCCGTAGTAGCTGTCTAACTCCCAGGTACCTATTTACTGCTAGATGAACTGGATCATCAGGGTGAAAGAAACTCTACCCATTTGTTTCCGCCTCCGCCTGGAATCGAACCAGGAATTTGAACCCGGGCCAACTGTGTGTGTGTGTACTCACCTAGTTGTACTCACCTAGTTGTGTGTGTGTGTGTGTGTGTGTGTGTGTGTGTGTGTGTGTGTGTGTGTGTGTGTGTGTGTGTGTGTGTGTGTGTGTGTGTGTGTGTGTGTGTGTGTGTGCGTGCGTGAGTGTGTGTACTCACCTAGTGGTGTTTGCGGGGGTTGAGCTCTGGCTCTTTGGTCCCGCCTCTCAACTGTCAATCAACTGGTGTACAGATGTGTGTGTGTGTGTGTGTGTGTGTGTGTTTGCGTGTTTGCGGGGAGAGTCTGGGTTTGTGTGTATGTGTTCAGCAGGATCAAACAATTATAATTATTTTTCTTTGACAATTAGATGTTTATAAATCTAATTTTGTAATAAAGTTTTAAATGTAGTAGAGGAATTATTAGTAAGTAAGATTTTTATACATAAAATATCACAATGAGAGGACCAGCTTGTTTTGTTAGTCTAAAAGTGATATAGATCTTTGAAAATGGAGCACTATAATATAAGATGTTACTTGACAAAGACAAAAATAAAGAGGTGTTGTATCCTTTCTCTTAAATAAGATTTTAGTGTCATCATCAGCCTGAAGCTTATCCCATGACCATTAGTTAAGTGTTGCAAGATTCATACCTATGATACATATATATATATAGATACTTTCTTGCTTTTGACGAGTCTATCGCTAAAAAAAAAAATATGGTGTAATTTTGATTTCACCGTTTTCTTTCAAACTCTGTATACATTTATTCTCATTTGGTTGTAAATTCTTCGTGTTATAATGAAAAACAATGCTGCTTATTTGGCAACAAAAGCAATGAAAATATCGAGGAATTTGTTTGTTTTGTTTGTTTTTAATGTTTTTAATTGTATCACGCACGTTATCATTAGATATTTTTTGGTCTGAATAATTCATATAATTTAAATAAAATAGAAACCTATCTGCATTACAATTTTTGCAATAAAGTAGGTTTCTAGAAAATATTAGAATATTTCGCTATATGAGAGAATCTTTTACGAGCAATCGGACGTACGATCACCCGATCGTGGTTATTCGACTCCTGCAATTGGTCCAGTTGCTTAACAAATGCTTCACCCGACACTACACTTAGTGGTTAGTTTGAAGTCTCTCCTACAACAACCACCTCCCCAATACGAGAGGTCTGCTTGCCCTATAGGGAGGTCTGAACGCTTCTCCTACAACACCTACCTACTCATAAAGGTGGAATTATAGCTCCCGGCATCCTAACACAGATGGGTCTGGGTCCCGACCTTCAACTACTTCCCATACTGGCAGGTCTCAGTCCACCACAGCCACCGTCAACAGAGATTTGAGTCGGGTTACATCAAGTGCTTTCTTTCGTGCTAAAGCCTACAGCCACTTCAGCTGTAATTGTTCAGGCAGTTGTTGCGACAACCTGTCCTCCTACTAAGAACGTCGCTTTTTGCTCGTATGTGTTACATAAGGCCAATAATTGTCGTACTAGAAAATGGAAGCGGGTCGCGAAAGTGACGTACTGTCCCGTTTTCTGTTTTGGGTCCTCTGGTGAGTTAGGAGAGGACACTTTAACTTGACCGTTTTCTTGGCGTTGAGAAACCTTAGGAGGACGGGCTGGTAGCGATCAACCGCAGTGAAGATGAACAACAATCCATTAAAGGAAATTAGTCCTTCAGCATAACTTTGCCCTAACATGATCAGCGATACTTGTCCCCAGGATCAGAAGTGCTTAATGTTTTCCAACTGAAATGAGTTTAAAGCTCATTAATACGACATTAAGTTCATAAAGACTTTGGGCCTTTATGAACTCATTCAACCCCGGGCCCGAGTGCATGCTGATTATGTGGTCAATTAACTGTTTCATCTAGTCCAGGTGTACGCCACAGAAAACAAAATATCAAATGATAAACTTGAACAGTACACATGTTATTGCTACTTTGGTTACTGACTGCGACTGCTACTTTACTGCTATTGGTGTTCATACTGCTATCTCTATAGCTAGCTGCAAGTAATACTGCTGCTACTGGCAGTGGCACCTGCCAGTACCTGCAGTTACTTGAAGTAGCAATAGATGTCTCTACTACTTTTGTTCCTGTCAAAATTAATTTTCACTTTCACCACTGCTGGTGGCCCTGCAGCTGGTTGTTGTTATACAGCTGCTGCTGATGCTGCTGTTATTATGCAGACACTGAAAAATCTGCTGCTGATTTTATTATGCAGCAGCTGTACCTTCTGCTTCTGATGTTATTTTGCAGTAGATATGACGTCTGATGTTACTGGTATTACACAACTGTTTTATCGTCTACTGTTACAGCTGTAACCTATGCTGCTGCTGTTATAATGCGCTTCTGTTTTTGGCTACAGCTGCAACTTCTAGTGCTGCTATCCTTATGTAACTGCCTCTTTTACTGCAACTGTTATTATTCTGCTTCTGCAACAGTAGCAGCAGCTGTAACTTTTGCTGCAATAGTAGCACCAGCAGTAAATTCTGCTGCATCAGTAGCAGCAGCAGCTGTAACTTCTTCTGCAGCAGTAACAGCAGCAGCTGTAACTTCTGCTGCAACAGTAGCTGCAGCAGCTGCTACTGCTGCAGCACTTCTGCTGCTACTGTTATTACCCAGTTGGCTGTCCTACCTCTACTCTATTTTCTTGGTAATACCCGATTCTTCTTCCGTATTTTCATACTGTTAACCACCTATCGTTTATTTTAGTTTACGTTTAAGCATTATTTTTTTTTTTTATTTATTAATGTTTAATTTAATTTTGTGCTTGATTGTAAAGCAAGCCTTACATGCTTTACAATCGAAAAGTTGTTCAACATTGTACTACCGTGTCTGTTTATATATAGGTACAAGTGTAAAAGTGAACATTGAACACGTTGAAGAGAACAGAGAGTATGTAGTAGTGAACAGAGAGTATGTAGCAGTGAACAGATAACTTGTATAAACATCACATTTGTGACCATATAAATCGTTAACAAGAAAAACAGTTTACGTGACTGTTTATAAGAGTCTTTATAAGAAAACAATGTATAAGTTTATAAGTCAATCTAGGTTACTAGCAGTGCTCCTCCTCCCCTTCCCCGTTCCAGTCACTAACAACACAGTCAGTCAGTGAGTCAGTGACTTGGCCATCAACACTTGAGATATAACTGTTAATCCTCTCAACTTGTTCGTCTCATTTTATATGGTATGGTTCCCCAACGAACAAAGTACAAAGTACTATGAAAACTAGCAATTCACAACTATCCACGTTTTTAATACATAGGTTTTAGTTAAGTTAACTTGGGTTCGTGTGATTCTTGTTCAATTAGCACTTCTGTATTTTGTAGTTTGTAGTAAATCAAGACCACAGACTTGCACTACCAGCCCGGACTCGGGTGGCTTGCATTTTGCTACATGTGTTTCCAACCAGCCACCGACACTCTAGTCCGGCATCAATAACATAACAGAATTTATTAGAAAACATAACTAATAATGGTTTTTACCTGTTCAAGAGTAATTAAACAAATGTATTAAAAAACTTTGTTTCTAATAGCCTTGCAAACTGTGAAGGAATTATGAGTCCTGCAACAAAGAATGACTATGAACATTATTGAGTTATTAATCATAAAATATAATAAAAATTTGGTTCGATATATTCTAATGAGGTTAATGACAACTTCCTCTTTCTTTGATTACTTAATTTTGCCAAATGTTGTTTTAGTATTGTTGATTCATATTAGACAAAACTATCTGCTTATAATTATTTACATATGAGAGTATTAATAAAACTATTAACATTATTGTTTCTTATTTAATGCTATTAATTTTTATTTAATTATTATTACGATTATAATTATGATTAAATTTATTATAATTATTATTTTTATTATTAATATTGGCATTGTTATTATATTTGTCATACTATTGTTATTGTTATTATTATAAGGATATAGTTATTGTTTAGAATTATTGTAATTTGATTTTAATAAAAAAGTCAGACAGCAACTTAGATATATATATGTGTGTGGCTATGTGGTTCTGTATATAGATGTGTCCCGTACATAGAAGCTTTCTTATTGTTTCAGATGACGGAGCCTTGCTGGTCCAGTAATTAAGAGTCAATTGCCTCGTTAAGAGTCATTAGCTGATGTACTTTAACTTCTGATCTCGCCTTGTTAACCAGAAACGATCATCCTTGGGGACAAAAATATTTAAACTTAATTCAAGACTTAAATGTTTTAAAAAGTCATATGGAAAAAATGTATTGATTGTTAGCGTCTATTCTCTTTTAGTGTTTACTAGAATGTGAGCCAAACGTGAAACGCAACAAATTGGCTATTTCGAAGTTCAGCACTAAATCCGTAGTTCCTGTCAATTAGGACATAATTCCTCTCGTTCAAGAGAGAGCGAGAGTGGGACTTAAGACCTTAAGAGCTCTCTCTCTCATAAGCTCCCCCCAAACTCCTATAAACCGAGGCAAAACAAACCTTGCCCTCCAGTCCAGTTCTCTCACCTGCATTCAGCCAATTGCGTGTCCAGGTTCTTCAACCACAGCGCCCACGAGTCAAACAAGACGAGCCAGAAGCTGTGATCAACCGTCACTTCAGTCAAGGTCTTTAAATAACTACTAACCAAATGACAATTGAATGCAGAAACTATTTTATATCAGTTTGGTTGATATAATCATTGCTGAACCTACAACGCTTCAACCTCGGTTCCCAGTTAATAATTTGGTGACCATTCATAACAAATGAAGGACTCCACCTATACACTGTACCATATTTACCACTCTTGCAAAGGTGCTTGCTCTACTAGTGCGATAACTGGAGATTATATAGTTTTTTTGGATATAAATATAAATATATATAAATATATAATATAAGGCTTTGTTTTGCAGGAAGATTAAATTTTATATTTAATACCACAAAATAAGTAGAATAGCAAATTTGTATTGTCTTTATCATAGTTTTAATGACTACAGATCTCTGGTGTTTCTCCTTTAAAAACTCTCGTGCTATGTATGTATGTGTGTGAGTGTAAGTCTCCCTAGTGTCATGTTCCTTGGCTTAGAAAACCCAACGAGACAGTTAGAACAAGGAGAAATACCAGCCACAGTGCTGAAGGAGAAAGAAACATAATATCTGGGCCCTAGAATATGTATATAGTAACATATAGTCAAATACATGTACAAAAAATGTAATATGAATTGTACATAGTGTTGTAGAGTGCGTGTGTTTGTGTGTGTGTGTGTGTGTGTGTGTGTGTGTGTGTGTGTGTGTGTGTGTGTGTGTGTGTGTGTGTGTGTGTGTGTGTGTGTGTGTGTGGTGGTAATAATGATGTTTGACTGTGATGAAAGAGAGATGACATATTTCCTGTTAGTGTTTCCTAATAGTATTACTCCATCCCACAAGCCTGGTGTTATGTGTACCCCCTTAATTTATGAATAAAATGGACGACAGAACATGTTTTTGTTTAAATTAACCTGGTAACACCTACTGGATTGTTAAATGTGAATATTATTGTTTTATATTACATTTTAATTGTATTCTCTCTTTCTCTCTCTTTCTGTCTCTCTCTGTCTCTCTCTCTCTCTCTTTCTCTCTCAATCCATCCAACTTCCCTTTTTAAACCTATAAGAGAAATGTAATTTTAGGGTGGCATTAGCAGCGCACCAGTGTACGGCTTCCTATAGAAGCAGAGTGGGCAGCGGGGGAGAGAGAGAGAGAGAGAGAGAGAGAGAGAGAGAGAGAGAGAGAGAGAGAGAGAGAGAGAGAGAGAGAGAGAGAGAGAGAGAGAGAGAGAGAGAGAGAGGACCGGAAAAGAGCCAGAGTAAAGTCGGAAAAAGAGCAGGAGTGGACAGGTAAATAGCATGGAACGAGATATAGAAAGACGGAGTGAGAAGACGTCATAACTCATAGAAGAGAATCAGAGTGAAGAGGTTTAAGAGTGAGTCAGAGTGAAGAGATTTAAGACTGAGCCAGAGTAAAGAGATTTAAGAGTGAACCAGAGTGTAGAGATTTAAGAATGAGCCAGAGTGAAGAGATTTAAAAGAGCCAGAGTGAAGAGATTTAAGAGTGAGCCTGAGTGTAGAGATTTAAGAGTGAGCCAGAGTGAAGAAATTTAAGAGTGAGCAAGAGTGAAGAGATTTAAGAGTGAGCCAGAGTGATGAGATTTAAGAGTGAGCCAGAGTGAAAATAATTAAGAGTGGGCCAGAGTGATAAATATGAACCACTGAAGGTAGCTAGAGTTGAAAGCCAAAACTGTGAAAATAATAATGTAAAAGTGATATTTGTAATTTAAAATATGGCCTGGCTCGTAGTGATGTACATAAGCAGAAATCTTAAGGTATGTATCTATGCACTTCTTGAAAGACTATTGTAAGGAAAGTAATAACAATTATTTACTGAATAATTAATTGACATAACAGATAAACATTTTTTAGAACATATGTCAACAAAAGGGGATAAACGTGGGTCCTAAATATTGTGAGACATATTTCCCTATAGCGTTCAAAAATATGAATTCTTATAGAACACTTGCCATTAATTTGGGTCTCAAATAGGAAAATTATTTTAAAGACTGAGATTGCCGAACTGTTATGAAGTCTAGTATTCAGGCCAATGTGAGTGAGATTTTAGGAGAGTGTATGCAAAAAAATAGCTCAGAGGTGGATCGGTGAAAGGTGATTGGGAGGAGAAAAGGATATGCAGCCAAGGAAATCAACGAATATAATAATACATTTCGCAGTAGCTGGATATAAAGAGAAAACCAAAATTGGACATTTTGTGGCAATAATAGGAAGAACAAAATGTAGATGTGTTTGTAACATGAACAATATTATGGCTTGGAAATTGTATAAACCAATGATTTTACTAAGTACTGCTGGTACTGAAGTTAGGAAATGCAGGAAAGCGGCATTGTTAGTAATACTGTAAACATCAATTTAGTGTATTTGGACCAAGGGCACCGAAGAAAGAAAGGTTGGAAGTTGAAATAATAATGGAAAATTATTAAATTCCTAGATAGACACGTGATTAAGACAAAATGCAAGTTTATTTATTAACAAATGAAACAAATGTTTCGGCATTTATTTAGACACTATTGAAACATATGTTCTGGGGGATTGTGTTCACTTCACTCGTGTAAGAGTAGAATTATTAGCAGGTTTAAAATAATTGGATATTTTTTTTTAAGATATCAAATGGTTGAATTGAATAAAAGATCGAAGTCATGTTTTATATTTTTTCAGCCCATTCAGAAGTGCACATATTTGTGTTTTTAATAAGAATAAAGCTTTTGGTTCTCATTCAGACTTTGGGTTATAAATGTTCAAACGGTGCTTGAATTGTAGAGGAAACATGACATGACATGAAGGAGATATTAAGATTGTTTGCAAGCACCGTCGAGGTGATTGTGGTATCAATAAAAATATCAATCATATATATAACAAAGCTCTAAAAGTTCTTCATACTTTGTATGAAGCAAAACAACGTTTAGATTTGTAACTGATTCATTTGTATGAATCAGTTACAAATATTGTTTATAAATCTAAATTATTTCTGTATTAGAAGCTCGAATTTTTATTGAGTCAACGAATTATTAGAAGAATTTCAAATGATCAACAATTTGGTTGACTACAATTGAACAGTTAAACGGTAAATATAAAAAGCAGTCTTTATCAGTGAAAATTTGAAACAAATCATGCCAATGGTATTAAAATAGATACACACAGAAATAATTTAGATTGAGTAAATTAAAGCTAATGAAAATATATACAGAGTTATCTATAGAAAATTTAGCCCTTATGAATGTGAAGGAGGCACATTTTTTATGCATCATTGGATAATACTACCTTGTTGGTGACCTCAAAAATATTAAAATATACAAGACAAATATTACGAGGAATGCTAAGCAATGAGATTCTTTTTTTTTAAAGCTGAAGGTTTTCTCAGACAGAAAGTTAGAGAGCCAACTAGCAAAAATATTATGTATTATAATGGGCTTGCTGTACGATGAATATGACGACCAAACCACACACTAAAAAGTGAAGAAATGACGACGTTTTGGTCCGTCCTGAACCATTCTCAAGTCGATTGAGAATGGTCCAGGACGGACCGAAACGTCGTCGTCTCTCCACTTTCTAGTGTGTAGTATGATCAACATACTACAGCCACGTTATTGTGACTCCTCGTCTGCATGTAAATGACATAAATAAGTTTGAAAAATGGAAGGAATTAAAGAGTAATTATCATAATTCTAATGTGTTTTTCTCCATATACCCTTAACTATCTCAACGGTGTTTATCCAGTAGCTCGACCCGTTACTTTTGGTTCCAATGATGATAACGTAACATTCATCAGATTTACAACCCAAAATCCAATAACCACTTGTTGGTTTGTACGTATTTCAAAGTGTCCACAAAATGCATCATTCCCCCCTTCCAAGCTCCATTACAGCTCCGTCCCTCATGAATAAATTACCAATACGAGAGGTGCTACATGTGGCTTTCAGATACATGTTCCCTTGCACGAACAGAGCCATTTCGACGCTCATTCCATTCTAAATATACGAGATTAGGGAACTCATTTAGGAAACGGGATAGCGTTCAAAACATTCAGTCATTTTTTACAATTCAAACATATTGTATATAAAGGGTTTTGATGCAAAGTATAAATAGCTACATTTCATGTTTTATATATTATACCTTCTTTAAACATATAATATGAAGGTGAAGGCAAGACCCACCCACATATATCCCACAAGCAATCCAGCTGGGATTGTAGACTGAGCTGCTGCAGAGTGATTGGAAGCTGAAGCAACACAAAATGATATAGCTCGCCTCACAGCAGTTGCAGCTCCACATGTAGGTTGACTTCCTGTTAGTAACCCAACTGTCAGCCACTGGCACACGTCTTACACCACACGCCCTCTGAGTTGCTGTGGCCCTCCGCCTTGCTGCCCCAATCCACACCAAATATAGATTTATTAGCGGCGAGGTGGTGGCTGACAGGTACGGCCACCATGGCCTACTCTGCTAAAACACAGGAGGATGACACTCGAGGCACAGTGAAGTTAACAACGTCATCAAGAGGAGCCTCACCCCAGTTGGATGCCCAGCCGAGAGAGAGCCTCGTTACCTAATGACCCGCAACTTTGCTGTTCTTATTCGTTGTCTAGATGGTATCACAGTGAACCCCGGAAAGATCGGCAGGCAGTTGGTGTGGGACTACCCTGGAATCACAAACCGAAGCTGTCTCTATTTTCCGCTTGTTACAACTTGTAATAAAGTTGTTACATCTTGGCTTAACGTGTTTATGACGTATTACAACGTTGTTACAACTTGCTATATTGGTTGTTATAACTGGTTAGGAAATGTTAAAACTTGTTTGAACGTTGTACCAACGTCGCAGTTTCGGTGTGTGTTTGGCGGGTACACGTGTGTATCAACCCTGGCTAACACCTACATTAACTTGAGTGTTTCTGATCCGGGTGCCAAACACAGAGAATCAGTTAAGTCCGTAAGTACAGAGGTTATCTTGAGGTTATCTTGACATGATTTCGGGGCTTTAGTGTCCCCGCGGCCCGGTCCTCGACCAGGCCTCCACCCCCAGGAAGCAGCCCGTGACAGCTGACTAACATCCAGGTACCTATTTACTGCTAGGTAACAGGGGCATTCAGGGTGAAAGAAACTTTGCCCATTTGCTTCTGCCTCGTGCGGGAATCAAACCCGCGCCACAGAATCACGAGTCCTGCGCGCTATCCACCAGGCTACGAGGCCCCCTCGTAGAGAACTGGATCAACACTACAATTTTGTCCCCATTGTATAAATGGGAAAATCAGTAGGAGCCTTCAGGAGGCTTCGAACCCATTTACTCCATTCTCCCAAGCTAGCGTCTTAGACCTCTACACTACGACACGGAAAAAAATGCAACTATTAGATTGATCCGATTAACGCAGAATTCTTCCTAACGAAGTTAAATCGACTAATATCATTCATTCGCATAAACATAAACCTTGTGGTGTTCAGAAGTATGTTGACCGGACCACACACTAGAAATTGAAGGAACGACGACGTTTCGGTCCGTCCTGGACCATTCTCAAGTCGATTGAGGTTATCTTGAGGTATATCAGTCGACTTGAGAATGGTCCAGGACGGACCGAAACGTCGTCGTCCCTTCAATTTCTAGTGTATGGTCTGGTCGACATACTTCAGCCACGTTATTGTGACTCATCGCCTGCGTTTGTGGTGTTCAGATTTGTGATAATTTTTCCATGATATCCATCGCACTGTTCCCACAAACCAGGACATTTGACCACACTCATCAGAAATTCCACCATTCTGTAGAGAATCTCTGGAGATCATTATCAAAACGACCTCAAATGATGGACGCCACATAAGGCGCTCTGCCAGTTATATAAGAGCATACATCTAGAATCTTTGTTTACATCACCTTGATAGAAGA